CACTGGGCGCGGATACCAGTGGGGCTAGGCCGCGCCGGCCCCGGCCCCGGCCCCGGCCCTGTTGTGTCAGACAGGAGATGTAGTGTCCCGGGGGAGAGGTTTGGCTCACACCTGCTGCTCTGCCCTCAGGTTCCTGAGACCAAATCAGTGAAACAAGGCATCCCCCTAAACACCCTCCAGGGCTAATAGCTAGCAGGTTTAAAACAAACAAAAGGAAGCCCAGGGGAATCAGAACGGGCCAATCCAGGGCTAATAGGTAGCAGGTTTAAAACAAACAAAAGGACATTTTTCTTCACACCACACACAACCTGTGGAACTCCTTGCCACATGATGTTGTGAAGAGTGGGACTTTAACCGGTTTCAAAAAAGAACTAGATAAATGCATGGAGGTTGGGTCCATCAATGGCTACTAGCCAGGATGGGTAGGAATGGTGCCCCCAGCCTCCGTTTGTCTGGGGCTTAAAATGGATGACGGGAGGGATCACTTGACGAGTTCCTGTTCTGTTCGTTCCCTCTGGGGCACCTGGCATTGGCCACTGTCGGCCGACAGGACACTGGGCGAGATGGATCTTTTATCTGACCCAGTCTGGCCGTTCTTAGGAGTCAAGATTTGGCTGAGACATCATCGAAACCTAACAGGGCAAGCTGGTCGGTGCCTCCCGAGGGGCCAGCTTCCCAAACCAGGCACAGAGGCACCTCCACTGAGTGTGGGCAGAGCAGCCTGGCCTGCACCCCCTCACTCCACCTCTTGGCACCAGAAAGACGCCTAGAAATCACCTGCTATGGACAAAGGACCAGGCTTCATTGCCAGATTGAACTCTCGGGGGTTGAAAACAGCCCTCGGGAGCTGGCAGGCTGAGCTGGAACGGTGCAATTCTGCGGCTTGGCTCAAACACTCCGTACAAGGTGAGAGTCACACGATCTGATCCCTGGTGGCATCACCAAACCCGGATGCACACCTCCTCGCTCAGGGCCCTGCCCCAGGGATGGCTTGGAAGTCATCCGCTTTCCTTACAGAAACAACAGAGCACGAAGTCCTTTTCACCGTCCAGGCGGCGCTTGGCTCCTGTTCTCCGGCCACTCTCCGTAACCAAACACGCCACACGGTGGGTGCGTGGGCATCGTTGCTCTCGTCACTATGCTTGGCTCCCAAGCGGCCCCGTCCTAAGGCGTGAGCCCAAAGTACTTTACAAAAGCAGAGTCAGGACCATTAACCTTGGCAAAAACACCCAGTGTGCACCCCGCCCCCATCCACAACATGCTTTTATAGCTGGGGAAACAGAGGCACAAGGGGGGGCATTCAAATTAGGCACAGTACCCCCCGTAAGTGGAGTGCTTGGGCAGCCATGTAGGAGAAATTCAAAAGACACTCAGCTGATTAGCAGCACGCCCACAGCCGGCAGCATGTATTTCAACTAGTGGTGCACATCTGCACATGCCTCAGTGCACATACAATTTATTCCGCACATGGATGGAAAAAAATACAGGGAACACTGGTTGTTCAGAGGGTAAACTCCTCAAAGCAAGAAGTGCGCCTCCCACCCACAGTGGGAATGCTGCTGCACACACTAGCCAGGGGTTTCAAACCTTTTTTTTTCTTATGACTCAGTTGAAGAAAATTGTTGATGCCGTGACCCAGCATAATGTGGCTGGGGTGTGGGCTCCAGGGCGAGGCTGAGAGCTTTGGCTCTGGATTTGGGGGGGTCAGGGCTGGGGCAGGAGGGGCCGACCTCGAGCGGCTCCTGGGCAGTGGTGCAGCGGGGGGGCTAAGGCAGCTCTCCTGGCACCACAGACCATGCTGCGCCCCAGAAGCAGCCGCCAGCAGCTTCCCAGCCAATGGGAGTGCGGAGCTAGTGCTCGGGGCAGGGGCAGGGC